CAATCAATTTAATATCTTCAATAGTTAAATTTAACCAGTAGGGGGGGGGGTTGCGCAAATAGAGCGCTGAGAGCAGAAATTTTAAGCAAGCAATCTGTTTAAAATCAAAAAGAAACGTTTGTATTTAAATTCATTTTGAGTTTGATTCCCAGTTTAAGATTACATGTAATTATTTTTATCATATTAATTAAATACTTAGTACCTGTCGATGGTAATGGTAGTGGTAATAATATAAACGTTATGTATTGGTAATGTTTATTGATAATGGTAATCGTAATAGTAATGGTATTGGTACTGGTAATGGTAATGGCAATTGCAACGGTAATATTATACACATTGGTAATTGGTAATGGTTATTGATAATGGTAATGGTAATAGTTATTGTATTGGTACTAGATTTGGGAATGGCAATTGCAACGGTAATTATTATTGGTAACTGGTTATAATTAAGTTGTTAAGTAATGGTAATGATAATGGTCAATGTAATGGTAATGGTATTTTTTGCTAACCCAAAAAAAAAATTCAAATATTTAATACCTATCGATCATAATGCCAATGGTAGTGAAAATGATAATTAATTATGGTATTGGTATGGTATTAAAAGGAGTAATTAGTAATGGTTATTGCTAATGGAAATGGCAATTTTAATGGTACTGGTATTTGTAATAATAATGGCAGCGGTAATGGTTATTTTCAACTGGTAGTAGTAATGGTAATGTGAATGGTCATAAGTAATGGTAACGGTAAAGATAAGAGTAATTGATATAGGTATTGGTATGAGTAAAGGTAATTGATAATGATACTGGTAATGGTAATGGTAACGGTAGTGTGTATTGCATAGTATATTTCTCTGTGTGCGTCCCCTTAATGTCGGCGCATTTCCTCCACAACACAAAATTTCAATCAACTTAAAAATAATACTAACGAGCTATTTACGCACAAAGGAACTTTATATTTTTCTTCTGGCTTTACTTATTGTTTTTATTTCCTTACATAAGTGTACATACATTCTATATGCATACATATGTCTGTATTTTAACACATATTTGTAGCTGCCTGTTCTCATATCCTTGTAGTTGATTGACTCCTCACATTTAATTTTGTTTCATTGTGCTTTAGCTTAGTTGAGACTTTCTTTTTCCATTGTCACCGACAACAATACATTTTATTAAAGTTTTTCAAATGCACGGTATGGTGAAGTTAAAAAAAGTCTAATAAAGTCTTTTAAAGCTTTTAAGGTTTGGAAGAATCTATTCGGGTAGAAAAAACTGCATATTCAGAATTTTTAATTAACACTCAAATCTTTGCTTAAGCTTTGTTGTCATCAAACAAAAAAATGTTGCCCGTTTTTTTTACAAAGTGGATTTTAGACAAAGCTGTATATTAAATACAAAACTTGAAAACCCGCTTTAGTGGATTTTTATTTTGTCAGTCCTCCTTCACTTGGTATTTAGCGTTCTAATGATAGTATATGGTAGTGTCTGGCACTCACAACTGCTGAAGCCTTGAAAATATTTGGCCACTTGTTTATGACCTTTATTTCTTTTATTTTTTCACCTTTTTCCGATACTTTCTCGAGAATCGACTGTATGCAATCCCCGGCCAGCAAAATGAGAAAAATCCGCTAAAAAGAACGTCCCGTCGTCCATTATGCAAACCTCTCAAAAAATTTGTTTCAGCAATTAAACAACACTCTGCGGAACGTTGTCTTCACTGGGAAAAGGACCCCTCCGGCACGATGGTCGGTCACTGAATCCCATTCCTTTAAACGACTATCCAAGGTCCCTATCATGAAGGCTTTGGGAGCTGATCTTGAATTAAATATCGGCGATAATTTCGCTGCAAGAGGCCAAAATAATACAAAACCAAACACATCGA